GAGGAGGAGAGCATTGAGGCTGGATCCGACTGCATCACATCTCGAGCGACTGGTAGCTAATACCAGTTGCGGAACAGCTTCACAAGAAGATCTCCGAAAGTATAGGCAGTCGAAACTTTTGGAAGCAGCGCAGGGAAGGAGAAGCCTAAAGAAGTACCGCAGGGACCTTCTCGACTATCGTGTTCCGCTGACAACATTACTAAACGAAGACGGGACTCACACATCTTCCCGGCAAGAGATGGAATCGATCACGATGAGATTCTACGCTAACCTCTTCCGCTCATCGACACCCGTGTCAAACCCCGTTATTCCCACTGGAAAAATACCACGGATTCTACCTGCTGAAGTACGCGCCGCAATCAAGACCATGAAGGCAGCCACGGTTCCGGGACCGGACCACATTTCGGCCGACCTCTTACGAGCTGAAGGAATCGCCTACACGAGATACTTGCGGAAAATGAAACGTCTTACCTTCAAAAGGAAAGAATCTCCGACCAGTGGAGAACCTCCCGAACAGTCCTCTTTCACAGAAGGGCGATAGGGAGGATCTTCGGAACTACCGTACAATATGCCGCTGAGCGTGCTTTACAAGCTTTTTACGAAGATTATTCACGCTCGCATAACAAGGACACTGGATGAGGCTCAACCTGCGTGCTTTACAAGCTTTTTACGAAGATTATTCTCGCTCGCATATCAAGGACACTGGATGAGGCTCAACCTGTAGAACAAGCCAGCTTTTTACGAAGATTATTCTCGCTCGCATATCAAGGACACTGGATGAGGCTCAACCTGTAGAACAAGGGTGGATTTCGCAAGGGATTCAGCTGCGTAGATCACATCCAGACAGTTTCGAGGATCATCGAGGTTTGCCGAGCGTACCGTCTACCTCTCGTCATATCCTTCGTTGACTATGAGAAAGCGTTTGACAGCGTCGAGAGTAATGCCATACTGTCAGCGCTCGTCGACCGAGGGGTGGACCCATTCTTACGTGAGGACATTGGCCGACTGCTACAGGAATTGCGCTACAACGGTACAGCTTTTCCATCATTCCCTTAACATACCAATCTCGAAGGGGGTTCGACAAGGCGACCTCGTGTCGCCAAAGCTGTGTACTGCCGCGTTGCAGTGGGTGATGAAGTCACTGGATTGGAATGAGAGAGGTATACGAGTTGATGGGAGATTTCTCTCGAACCTTGTTTCGCGGACGACATTGTTTTCTTCTCGAAGAATATCACTGAAGCAGAGACGATGTTGGAAGAACCAAACGAGATAGAGAAGCGGACAGGACTGCGAATTTACCGGAAGAAGACTCAGTTCATGAAGAAGGCTTTTTGCGAGGATCAGGATATGGAGCTGGAAGGCTCTCCAATCGCGGAGACA